CGGTTTGAATACTTCTTCTGCGGCTTTGGTTCGTGCTCTAAGTTTCGTATTTGACGATGAGGTAGATGATTTTACCATGGTTTACGCAGATGACATTCTTTGCTACTCACCTGATTTTGAAACTCATTTAAAACACTTAGAAACTATTTTCCTTAAGCTGAAGGGAGCTAACATGACAATAAAATTTGAAAAATCATTGTTCTGTAGAGATAAAGTCCCATTTCTAGGATATATAGTAACAGGTGAAGGATTGGAGGCAGACCCAAGAAAAACTGAAGCAATTTTGAATTTAAGAACACCAAGAAATCAGAAAGAACTCAGAGGATTCTTAGGCACAATAAATTATTATAACAGATTCGTCGAGAGGTACTCAGAGACATTACAACCACTTCTGGCACTAACTTCAAAGAAAAATCATGGCCCCCACATTTAATTGTGGGCCCTGTTACCAGGATCTGGCTCGGGCCCCCCTACCAACCGGGGGGTATGGAATACCCCCCAGCCTATTTCTCCCCCGGGAAAATGTTGAAAATGTCATGTATTTTAGTGAGTTTTTAAGGCAATCTAGGTATTAAATTTGGATTTAATTGAGTGGTAAATGACACTTTTGCAGCCTTTTTTAAGGAAGAAAAGAGTTCTTCAATGAGTTTTATAAGACTTAAAATTACAGGAATTCAGCAATTAAAACTATTATATCAATACACAAAAGCTCCATGCCTATTAATATTTTGTCTATTTTATTTCCCTGGAAAAGGGTTTGGCTATCTTAACTGCTATAATATTGTACTTTGTAATATGGAGTAGGAAAAAAACTTACGTAAATCGAGATTAACAGCTTACACCAATGAAATCATATTTTATTCAGTGACAATTTCCATCAAGAATTTTAACAATACTACATTTTTTTGGGAGTGGATGCCTGAGCTGCCGAACTTGCGTGAGTAGTCACGGAGAATAACAAATGTGCACGAGTAACGCCGAGAATGACCGATGCTGTCGATGCCGATGCTATCCAATCCATGCTTTAGTACAGTATTATACCGAGCGAATTAGGAAGAAAACTTAGGTCAAAATTATTACAATCTTTCATATTTTTAAAACTCCAAAAGTAAAGAATTTTTAAGTTTGTGTCAAATAACCTAGATTGCAATTATTAATTGAAAAATGGAAAATGGAATACCAAACATAAAAGTGCAACCGGGACCAAATGTTGATAAAACGGGACAAATAAGCGTCCCGAGAGGATTTGTCGGGACGGACCAGTCCCCCTAAAACGGGAAGTCTGGTCACCTTAGCTATGGTACATAGTACATGTCAATTTTTCAATGCTTTACAAATTTTATTTTAACTTATAACTATAAGGATTCATTCTTGAAACTATCAGTTCAATTATAAAACCAAACTTTGTTTATTATGGGGGGAGTGAGGTAGGAGGGGCTAGGCGCCTGGCGGGAGGAAAGGGTAGAGCGAGTTTGTGGAGCCGGCCACTGGGGCCCGAGCTGGCTGTTCTGATGTTGTATAGAACATACGCAACTATAGTATTTAAATATAAACTACCTCAGAATCTAGAATTAATGCATTTTAAATTATTTAACTTTGTTTTTTGTAAAATATATATATTATTTTTTATCTTCAATTTATGATCTGCTGTAAAGTGATCTTCAATGGGGAAAAAATTTTAAAAAATGGGTAGGCCCGGGCCCCCTGAGGGCCCGGGCCCTGTGACCAGAGTTGCACCAGCCCCACCCTTGTGGGGGCCATGAGAAAAATAAATTTATTTGGACAAGTAAAGAACAGGAAGCTTTTGAAAACACTAAGGAACTTTTCTTAAAAACAAATACCTTAATTCACCCAGATTTGAATAAAGAATTTATATTACAATGTGATGCATCAGATAAAGCTATTGGTGGACACCTATACCAGATAAAGGACGATGGAACAAAAGGGGCTATCGCTTTCTTGAGTCGAGTTCTGAGGGGACATGAGCTAAATTTATTTACTACTGAAAAGGAGTTTCTGTCCATACTTTTCTGTCTTCAGAAGACCAGACAGATTGTGATGGGAGCTAAGGTGCGCATAATAACCGACCATAAGGCACTAACTTTCATAAAAACTTGCAAATTGCTCAATTCACGATTAACTAGATGGGTCCTTGCTTTACAAGAATACCAATACACAATAGAGGGATGTCCGGGTAAGGATAATATAGTGGCAGATTCTTTAAGCCGCTACTGTAAAAGTGATATGTCACAGGAAAGAAATGGTGATGATGAACCAAAAATAGTGGTTGCAACTGTGAAAAGACAAGCAAATACTCAAACCATGTTAGACTTAGAAAATTTAAAGGAACATCAACATTTGGACCCACAATATAACAACATAATACAACAAAAGTTAAGAGAGAAGGATGGTGAAGTTTTACCAAAACCTTTGTTAAATTATGAAATAGAAGATGGACTTTTACTAAAGAAAAACAACAATGATGTATGGAAGGTTGTAATACCAGAAGTGTTAGTAGAAAGTTTGATATGGAGTTGTCACTTTTATTATTTACATTGTGGTCCTCAGAAGTGTTACCAAATCTTAAATGAGAGCTTTATATTCAAGAATATGACCAGGAAAATCAGAGTTATATTAAAGCGATGTGAAACATGCCAAAAATGCAAGCCAAATAATAAAACTAACTTTGGAGAAACAAGTGGTGTCAGTGTGACTGAAAAGAACGAACTTTTGGCCGTAGACTTTCTAGGACCTTTACCAATGGGAAGATCTGGCTTACAATATGTGTTTGTTGTAGTTGATGTGTTTACAAAATTTACTAAACTATTTCCTACTAAAAGAGCAACTAGTCAGATTGCACTAAACAAAATATTTTTAGAATACGTCCCTAATTATGGAAAACCAAAGAAAATACAAAGTGACAATGCTACACAGTTTCATAGCAAGCTCTGGCTAAACAAATTAAAGGTAGAAGGCATTACTCCAGTGTTTTCCCCAATTAGACATCCACAACCCAACTTAGCAGAGCGTATAATAAAAGAGACAAAGCGATGCTTAAGAAGTTATTGCCACAATAATCAGAAAACTTGGCCTGAGTACATCAGCATAATTAATGAGTTTCTAAATGAAGTACGAAACGAAACTACAGGTTTCACCCCAAACGAACTGCATCTAAATAAAAGGAATGTTAGATTTTGGAGCAATGTCTTAGGGTTACATAGAGAAGATGACCAGAATTGGGTAGTTAAGCTAGAGTTAGCAAAAACTAGAGCCGAAAGAAAGAAAGAAAACAGAGCTAGAAAATTGAATACGCAACACAAGATAACAGAATTTGAAGTTGGAAAGAAGGTTTTGTTAAAAGCTGCACCGATATCTAGAGCAATATTAGGTGAAACAAAGAGCCTTTGCCAAATTTTTGAAGGTCCATACAAAATTCATCAAAAGATTGGAAAATCAACTTACATTTTAAGTGACTTGAGTGGTTTAAATATAAAGGGTCCATATCACACAGAAAGTCTGAAGAAATATTTTTAAAAAACAAAACCTGCCAAAGATACAAAGGAGGATGAGGGTAGTAAAAAATAATAATAATAATAAAACACAACAAATAAAATAAAACAATCAAAACAAAATCATTTAAATTAACAAATAATCTTAAAAGAAAACAATAACAATACATATAAAATAATGAATAATAAAAAAAAAAAAAAAAAAGTTTATGAAATGTATTATTATAAACACAACACTAATCTTCTTTTGAATTTGCAAAACAGATGATGGCAGCAGCTAGTTTCTACATTCCAAAGAAAGGAGGAAAGCGTCACCACGAAGCCTTCCGAAAGTGGCTGGCCAAGCTCCCACTTGACGACCCGAGACGAGTGCAGCTTGCTTCAGGCGTCAAGCCGAGAACGAAACTAGCGAATCTCCTGGAGATCAACAACAGGAAGCTGGAGGCTCAGAAGCAGCGAGAGGTGCTCGGTAGACGGTGTGAGCAGCTATCTGAGGATGCGGACATCACTAAGTACGCCGATTTCCAAGCCAAGAAGAGGCTTACAGAAATGGAGAGGGTGCTGGGCTACCCTATCGTCGCCCGGAAGTATGTCTTGCATCCTTGCGACATACCACCAAAGGGACCCCCAACTGAAGACTCCAGCGACCGGGAGGTGCTGCGCATCCTGCACGAGATGAAGGTCCAGGAGCCCATTCAAAGGATTGATCCGGTGACCAGCATCTTCAGCCCGCCTAAAGCCCATCCTGAGGAGGACGTCCTGGAGATGGAATTAGAAGAGGATTTCACCCTGGAGTTTTAGAGGACTCTTCAAGACTCCAACCTAAAGACTGTTATGTATTATTAGTTGTAAGATTTCATGTTCCTATTAGTTATTTTATTTTTTGCTCATTTCAAGACTGATTTATCTAAAATTTTAAAAATTTTCTGTGATATTAGAATTTTGTGAAACTCGCAATAACAATTAGCTTCGTCACAAAATTGAGGGGACAATTACGACGTTACCAAAATTTACCGCCGTAATAATAATATAATAGGCCTACTCAATTAACCAAATTTAGATTACTATCAAGCTTTCTAATAGGCTCAAACAATAACCAATGAAAGACGTTATTCCAAATAGCCTAGGTTGTTGCACAGTTGCAATAAACACCGATCCTCTTGATGCTTTGTAATTTCAAGGTAATAATAAATAAAATTCTAATAAATACCTCTCTAATTAATAGCAGATTTAAGTCAAATTTCATTATTGACTAAGTTAAGATAACCTACAATACGTACACTTACCGTTTCGATATCATAACGTCTGCCGATACAACTTTTACTTTCATCAAAGGCCATAATTAAATTAGACTCCGACTAATCATTCTTTTATTTAAATTATCCTATAACTGTGATTTGTTTTAATTACTGTAAGATTGTTTAAATTCATATTAAGAATAACTTTATACGGATGCCTATTTACAATCATCACTAACATAACCTCCAGGACATGACATTTGACAGACATCGGCACCCGGCCCGGTTTGAGAATTGAGTGAGAGGAAGTAAAACAATCACATTACGTCATATAGTTTTTTCTGCGCGGTACGTACTCCGGTATCATGGCAGGGCGGGATTTTTGAAAGAGAGAAGACTTCTCTCTTGTTAACTCGGCTTTTTAGCTGGAAGAGTAGAGTCCTCAAAGCTACATTCGGCAAACACTACACTCGGCTTTGTGCTGGAGTTGGTAAGAGCTGAAAGTTGGCAAATTAAACTACATATTAGGGTTTTTATTAGCTAAACTTAATTTCTTTCTCAGGGGTTACATTATTGCGAGTTAGGGAATTCTTGAGTCATTAATATTTTGTGATATAATTTAAAGTAGATTTTTTTTCAATTTCAAGTTAAATATTTATGAATTGTTAAATATTTGCAAATTGTTAAGTGAGAAAGATCACCGTGATAATTATTTAATAAGACTGAATGTTAGATTTAATAAATTTGTCGAATAAATATTTAATTGTTACAGCATAAACTCTTGACTTATTATTGTAGGGACACGCTCTCATCTTTCTAGACATAAATAAAGAAAATACAAAATCATAATAAGCTCAGATAAGAAACAACCCCACTCATTAAATCGGCTGGCAAAGAACCTCTCCCTGAAGATAGCTCATTGCTCTACAAAAAAATAGCTAGGGTAACAAAATAACTAAATTTTGAGTTGGAGTGTTGTAGAGTTGTTGAAAAAGGATGTTCCTTTTGTTTGGTCTAGGAAATGTGCTGAAACTTTTAAACAGAGTAAACACTGGGTGTTATCTTCTGATATTCTTGTACATTATGATGTCAATAAGCCACTAGTGCTTACATGTGATGCAAGCCCTCGAGGCGTGGGGGCGGTGTTGTCCCATTTGATTGATGGCGAAGAGAGGCCTATTGCTTTCGCCTCTAAAACTCTAAGTCAAAGTGAGAAAAATTATTCTCAGCTTCATAGGGAAGCTCTAGCATTAGTATTTGGTGCTAAGAAATTTCATAAGTATATTTACGGGAGAAAACATGTCATATTACAGAGTGACCACCAGCCGTTGGCTACTATCTTTGGCTCAAAGCGAGGAACTCCAAGCCTAGCCGCAGCGCGCCTACAGAGATGGGCCCTGATTTTGGCTTCGTATGACTTCGAAGTGAGATATCGCAAGGCGTCTGATGTGCCACATGCCGATGCCTTATCCCGGTTGCCGTTACCGGCAAGTGATTCACTGGAACTGGAAAACAACTTTATCTCGCACACTCAGGAATGCGTGGAGGTACTAAACTGCTTCAGCACGGTGAGTACCGAATCACCTATCACTTCTAAGGAAATTGCTAAATTCACTGGTACTGATCCTATATTATCTAAAGTAAGAGATTATGTTTGGCACGGCTGGCATGGCGCTGTGGATAAAGAGTTATTGCCTTATGTAAAAAGGAAAGATGAACTTTCTGTGGATAGTAATTGTCTTCTGTGGGGGGCCCGTGTGGTCATTCCGACAAAATTGAGGAATCAAGTTTTAGAATTGCTTCATGATCAACATCCAGGCATTACACGGATGAAGCTGTTATCACGTAGCTATGTGTGGTGGCCCGGTATAGAACAAGGTATTGAAGAAACAGTGTCTTCTTGTTATATTTGTCAGTGTACGAGGAATGCAGCTCCAAAAGTCCCTCTCCAACAGTGGCCCCGTGTGTATGGCAGATGGCAACGGGTGCACATAGATTTCGCTGAAGATACTAATTCTAGGCAACAAATGTTAGTACTAGTAGACAGTTTTTCCAAGTGGATCGAGGTGTTTGTTATGAAATCTACTAGTTCTCTCAAGACCATTGAGCGTCTCCGTTCACTTTTTGCATCGTATGGGCTTCCAGACACTCTAGTATCTGATAATGGCCCTTCTTTTACAAGTTTTGAGTTCAAAGAATTCTTAAAGAAGAATGGAGTAAGGTTTGTCTTATCACCTCCTTATCATCCTGCGTCAAATGGTGCGGCCGAGCGGTGCGTTCAAGAAGTGAAGAAGAACCTGTTGAGACAGGTGTTGAGTGAAGGTGGTACTGGTTCTCTGACTTTGCAACATTAACTTGATAACTTCCTAATGACATACAGAAATACACCTAACACTGTAACAGGACTTACCCCGGCAGAATTGTTTCTCAACTGGAAACCTAAAACTAGGCTTGCACTTCTCAAACCTAACCTCAACGCTCGTATTGACACGAACCTGGACAGACAGAAGGAGAGTTCGGATAGGCATAGGGGAAGGGCAAGGTCCTTTGAAGTTGGAGAGAAAGTGTTCGTCAAAACTGTCAGGCAGGAGAAAATTGATTGGGTACCTGGAAAAGTTCTGGAGGTAAAAAGTTCTGTAATATATCTTGTTAGTGTATTGGGAAAAGTTAGGCGTTGCCATGCTGACCACCTCAGGTCTAGAGTGAACATGGAAGAGGAGGGGATAGCAGTGCCAAGTTGTGAGCCAAGGTCTCCCATGAAACCAGTACTTCCCGAGCGAGGGGAAACTTCAGAGGACAAGGAGAGGCAGCAAGTTTCGCCCAGGCGGCAATCTCCATTGAAGGACTCTGAGACTGCAGCGGTCCAGCCAAGACATGAAGACTCACCTGCGGTAGTGCAGTGCAGCCCGCCCAATCTTAGAAGGTCAAAAAGGACAATTCAAAAGCCTGAAAAGCTAGACCTTTAAGCTATTCAGGCAGAAGTGAGAAGAGTTTATTTTAGTTTTATGAGAAGAATTTTTAAGTTGGAATCAAGGTTTAATTAATAAAAATGAAAAAAAGAAATTATTATGAAGAGAAAGTTTTATGTTAGAAGAGTATGTTATTTGTGGTCTTACAGCAGTAGTGTGGGCCTAATCTAAATGGTGGCGAGTGTAATATAGTAGCAATAGGACCATATTAGATTATTAGTAACCGGAAACAGATTAAGTTACTGGGTGGCTGCACTGCCTACATCGGCGTGGAGCTCCCTGATTGGCTGCCGATCGGTCAAGGAGTTTTCCGTCTTGATGATCGTCACTTCGAGTCTAGCAAGGTGCGTAATTAGATGTCGCCATGTTTTCTTCTTGTTCTTAGTAGTTACTACACCTACTACCCTTTATTTTCCTTTTGAAATAGTTTAAAATACACAAAATATGAAAATCAATGATAAAAACGTCATTTCGGTCCATGACCTCAACCTTAGGCCAATAATAATTAGTAATGTGTCTTTAAAACTACGTTATTAATTTTGTTCTAAAAGATTTTGATTCTTAAAATGTTTAGATTATAGGCATATATGCCATAAAAGACACTAATTTAGTCATAAAAAAATATTAACAACTTTTATCACGCAAAGTATCACTGTACCCACAAGTACTGCCGTATAAGAGTGGAATTTTAAAACGTCAAAAGTCCCGCCAATCACAGCAGACGACAAGTTTGACGGGAGACTGATTTTTCAGGAGTTTGTGTTGCTTACTGTGCATATCTGACAATGTTTAATCATTTGCTTGTTGAGGTAAACAGTAAAATACAGGTAAGATTCTTACAGTACCTTAATTGCATGCCATTTCGGTCGGATAATTTATTAATAGTAATACGAAAACTGTCTTATAATAGTTTTGATCTCACCAAAACAAAAGTTGAAGTTAAAACATAACCTGCAAATTTGGTTGCAATGAGGTGGACCCAACTCATGGAGCGGAACTCATGAGTGATGCTGGACCGAATATGATTTATGAATCAGAAATGACGATTTATCATTAATGTTGTGTCAGTGTAAGAACAGGCGTAAGGCAAGGTGATGGAATATCACCTATACTATTTAACATAGCCTTAGAAGAGGCCCTCCAACAAGTAAGACAAACAAATATAGGTTTAGAAATGGGAACAAAAATAAACATCCTAGCTTTTGCGGACGATGTAGTAATTCTGTCAAAAAACAGAAATGACCTAGAGGAGCTAACCAGACTGTTCATAAAAAAATCAGAAAAAATGGGCCTAAAGATTAATGATGAGAAGACAAAATATATACACTTCACGAGACAGCCAAATGAAGTGAGGACAAATGAAATTAGTATAGATGGACATACTTTTGAAGTTATTGAACAATTTAAATATCTAGGGGTAATTATATCAAGCAGCAATAGTGAAGAAATGGAAATAAATTATAGGATTGCTCAGGCCAATAAATGTATGTATTCTTGTAAGAAATTGTTGACTTCAAAGATTCTCTCACATAAAACGAAAATAAAAATATATCATAGTATAATTCGACCAGTATTAACATATGGAGCTGAAACTTGGATTTTAAATAAAAAAGAAGAAAACAAAATGATTGTTTTTGAAAACAAAATTTTAAGAATGATATATGGACCAATACAAGAAAATGGAGAATGGAGAAGAAGGCATAATAGGGAGATAAGGAATATGTACAATGATTATGATGTAGTAGCACACGTGAAAGCAAGGAGAATAAGGTGGGCAGGACACGCACTACGGAGAGAACGAGGTTCATTACTAAAAGAAGCAAGTATAGGAAAGCCAGAAGGGAAACGACCATTAGGAAGGCCCAAGAAGAGATGGTGGGATAGTGTTTCCAAGGACGTCAGAGAGGTGGGGGCAGAAGTGGAAGAGGCAGAAGATCGAGAGAGATGGAGAGCAGTTGTTGGTGCGGCCAAATCCCGCCTTGGGCATAAATGGCCATGGGAGTGAGTGAGTGAGTGAGTTGTGTCAGTTAATATACGAAGTGTATTATGGAGTGAAACTAAACAAAACGTTCTCTATTTAGTTTGTTATGTATATCATTTCTATTTATGCTGCAATTTGTATTAATATAAAAAATGTGGTCAAAATATATGTTGTCACAAAACAGATGTACTGGTATACCGTACTTCAATAAATTGCAATCATGTAATAGTGAAATATGCTGTAATATTATTATTACAGTAGCCATACTTTAAATAGCAGGTTATAAATTGGGATTTTGTTTTTTTTATTTAAAATGTCAGAAATAAAACCCAAAATTATGAATTTTTTCATAAAAGGACGTTCACATTAAACTTTTTATCAGTTTAATATTATTTTACAAAGTGACATAAATACAAACTATTATTGAATTTAATTGCGAAAAAGCGGAAAAAGTATAATTTAAAATAAAACTAATGATGACAAATTATTAGCCTACAACAAAAAAGGGATTGATATTAATATCCAGATGGACTATTTGTTCCAAGGTCACAGAGTTTTGTGGTTGTCTTATATCAGTATGTTTTGATTCGTTTCAAATGAGTCAAAAAAGGAATCGCAAGATGCGGAAAAACTCCGGCGGGACCGTACGTCAACAAGTGCGTCGGGCGAATTTCACTGAAGAACAGCTGCAGCGTAAACGCCAGAAAGACTTGGAACAATATTATCGTCTAAAAATGAAAAAAATAAAGCCAATTGCGGAAAAACACCCAGAGAAGCCAGAAATTTAAGGACAAGCAGGTGGAAGATTTCCAAAAAGTTAAGGCAAAAGAAGAAGGCAGAATCTGTCGCAATGGATAACCACCACCAGCGTCACCTGATTCAAATTTAGAAGAAAAGCGTGAATCCGTTCAAAAACAGAGGGGGGAGGAAAAAAGTTAGAAGAGACAAGGCTTAAGTGTATAGAACTGTCATCAAACAAAAATGTTACATTTCAGAGTTTGGAAAAAATGTCCAAAAATATAAAAAGTACTATTTTACTATTTATTGTACTATTTTTATATTAATAAATATTTTGAATTGTGTAGTACTATTTTGATCAGTAAATAAAGGCCGCGTCATTTCGGTCCGATGCCAAAATCGGTTAAACTCTTTGATATCAATTATTTACTACGTCATACTGATATTTTATTTTGTATTTCCTCTACAATTTTCTTGGCAGTTAAATAAATAATAATTTTATTTTGACTGTTTTTAAGGAAGTTTAGGGAGGAGAACTCCAAATAAATAGGCAAGGAAGTAAGGGAAAAAATAATCACGACTAAACAATATATTACAGGTTACAATTATTTAAGTCTGCAAAACTACAACAAAAATCCTTTTGCATTATTTTAAATGTGTTATCATTTTTATGTAGGGAGGTAAATCCTACTAATATTATAAATGAGAAAGTTTGGATGTATGGATGTATGGATGGATGTTTGTGACAAGTGAACGTGAAAAATACTGGTTGGATTGGGCTGAAATTTGGCATGATGATAGCTCGCATTCCCGATTAACATATAGGCATATTCTTATTTCAAAAATCCTTTCGGGCTCCGCCCCAGTGGCTCTGGAGTTTCCCATGTTAACCTTATGAGAAATGGAATTATTAAATATTAACAGCTGTTTCAATTAAACAAGTTGGTTCTGTTCTATGATGTTCAATAGCATTAAAGTTACAAGGATTACCAACAGGGTGCAGCACTATTATTTCTTTTACATTCATGACAACAGCTAATTTGCAACCAAAAGGTGAGTGAGCGTAGCGAACGAACTTCAACCTGGAGGCGAGTAAGCGTAGCGAACAAGCTAACCTGAAGGCAAGTGAGCGCAGCGAACGAGCTCCAACCTAAAGGTGAGTGAGCGTAGCGAACGAGCTCCAACCTAAAGGTGAGTGAGCGTAGCGAACAAACTTCATCCAGGACATGATTGAGCCATGCGAACGAGATAATCTTGAAAATTAAGAAGTTAAACGGGGCAAAGCCCGCGGGTTACAGCTAGTTCTCTATAAATATGTAAATAAAAATTAATTACAAAAATATAAAATTGATGTATTTGAATCACTTTATTTACAATTTTTAAGTAGAAGATTTTTTTCTAAAATATTATCCTACTTAATTTTTTTTTAAGTTTAGGACCAACTTATTGGTATTTCTATATTCCCTTGTTCTTTCTGAACAAGAAAAATGCATAGGGGAAGCCGAGGTAATAGAATACAGGGGTTATAATAGACAGTGTAAAGAAACCACTTAAACATTATGTTAACATTATCAGAAAATAACCATAGACATTTTAAACATTTTATCTTCCTTACCAAACACTAACTTATCTAATATTACTGATAAATTTTCCTTTTCTGAACCTTTGAAAAATCCCTTACGAACAAACTTATTGCGCAAATTTGTGACTTTTTCCAAATGAAATTTTCTTGTAAAATTTGAGATAGAGTTTGTGACATCAGTTGGGTGTTATTTTGTGACCAATATGATGGAGAATACTGATCAGTAAGGTGAATTTCGACCACGTCTCTTATTGCCCCTTTTTGAAAATATTGAGGGGTAAGGCCCCTCAAAATATACATATTTTTATTTGTTTCAGGTTTTTAAGTGAATATTTGACTGCATGATAGTTTGAAAAGTGAGTGATCAGTGAATTAAATGGGCAAAGTTTAAGCGTTTATCTTGAAAATGCCTAGAAAATATATTTTTAAAATCTTGGGTGTCAGTGTGACCTTGAAGACTAGCAAAAAGCGATTAGAGAAGTGAAGAAGGGGGTATCCATAAGAACAGCGGCAAACAAATTAATGTGCCTGCTTCAACTCTTGGAAAACATTATAAAACCTACTGGAAACAAAGTTGGAGGAGGAGACTAACAGGAATCTTCTAAAGAAGACGAGGCTTCTCTTTCCAAGTATCTGGAAACATGTGCTACACATGGCGAAGGCCTTACAAAACAATAGACTCTAAATTTATTTAAA